TATACAAGCCGATCGAGCCGTTTTGCATCACTAAATATGACTCGATGGTATGATGGCATGAGTCAAATGTTGTCTTCTTATTCGTGATGAAGAAACACCAATTCGTGGCAAAGTTCAAAAATATCATTACAAGCTTTTTGGTGAGGAGGTAGCACTTAAGAAATTAGAATTAAAAGAAATTGAATCAGAAGTAAAAAAAAAAGTGCCAAATACACTTGAACTTCAAATTGGCATCTTGAAAACTATTAATGAATCACGAGACATTATTAAATACATCGGCCTTGTTACAATTAATTCTCAGAAATTTCTCGTTACTGAATGGGCTGAATATGGAACATTGCGTGAATATTATGAAATGAAAAACCCAGATATCTCTGTCAGAGCGAGACTAGCTTTGGAAATTGCACGTGGACTAAATTACCTTAATGCGTATGAAATATATCACCACGATGTTCGAAGTGAAAATGTATTAGTTGATTATCTCGAACGCGCAAAAATCACAAACTTTGAATTGAGTCGTAGTTTTAGTGAAGCTGTTAGTAAAAATATTGATGTTTCAATGGAAAACGTTCGCTATATGGCACCTGAAAAGATTAAAGATAACACAATACGATATAATTCAAGATGCGAGGTGTTCAGGTAATTAATTATTCTCTAAAAGACAAAACTATTTAAATATTATAAAACCTTGCTTATTTAATTGATCTTGTAGTTTCGGAATGCTTTTATGGGAACTTGCAGAACAAAAACTTCCTTTTTCTGAAACTGGACTTACTGTACTCGCAATAAGTCAGTTAATATTAGACAGAGCGGTGAATCTAAAATTTTCATGTCATGATGTACCAGAACCATGGAAAAGTCTTGTATTTAAAGGTAAATTTAATTTTAATCCGGATATATTTCACAATTCCACACAATATTATTAATTTATGTTTAATTTTTCTAAGCTACTAATTACAGAGCCAAAGCTCGTCCAGAAATGAACGAAATACTTAGGGAAATCGGATTAATAAATGACTCGTTTAATACAGACGCTCTCGATGTGTCAGATACAGATGATTTCGATGCGTCAGAATCAGATAGTGATCTACAGAAGTTATCATTTGAAGAAGCAGTTGAGCTAACAAATCATAAGGGCGTTTCTAAAGATTCTAAAGAAAGAGCTTGGAAAACAATTGCCAAATATTCAGAAATGGATAATGATTTTACTGCAAAATATTGGAAAGGATATTATCTTTTTAATAAATTAATTAGCTTTCCATACTCTGATGATGAAAGAATGCAGCTTGCTGCTGATGCATTTAAAGAAGCTGCTGATGGTGAAAATATTCGGGATGCACAATTTATGTACGCTTCATGTATTTATAAAAAAGATCCATACACGGCGATAAAATATTTTGAAAAAGCAGCTGAACAAAATTATACAGTTGCGATGCATAATTTAGGATTGCTATATTATAATGGTAAGTATATCGATGCCGACAAAAAGAAAGGTGAAGATTGGTTTAGAAGAGCTGCAGATGGTAATCTGGAAGCCGCCATTATCTTTTGCAAAAAAAATAAAATTACTTTTTAATTTTCTGAGTGGCATTATTTATACTTTTTTATAATAATTCAAATTATAAATTATGTTAATATATAAAATAAAATGTAAAGTGATTTTAAATTAGGATTATTCATTTTGAATTTAATTGAAATTAGTAGAATAGCTAAGTCGATTCTCTAGATTTAATATTGCTACTGTCTTTTTTATTATTAAACATTACAGGATAATATTTAATGAGAAAGCCTCAGTTATAAAATTGATTAAATTAGAACCAAGAGTTATCCAACAACGTCAAATCACCTGTTAACTCATACACTAGCACGTTTTTAAAAATGTAATTTGATTAATTTAATTAGATTTATATACCCTTAAAATAGGCCATTGTGTTTAAATTATGGTTAAGATAGCAAAAAGAGACAATTTGATGACAATTTTGACTTATCTTCATTATGCACATAATAGTCTTTAAATTTGACCAATGTAACATTTGGTTTACATTCAAATAATTTAACGGTCAACCGATTTGAATTAGGCCAATCCAGTTGAACAGTTGAAAATTAAGATCAGCAGGTTGATCCGGATAATAATAATATGCATCAACCGGTTGATTTACTGCTGTTTGCTCATAGGAAGACAACATTTGACTCATGCCATCATACCATCGAGTCATATTTAGTGATGCAAAACGGCTCGATCGGCTTGTATA